CAGCAATGTCTGTACCACTTGAGCAGCCAACTTCATTGTTTTCAGCTTTCTTTCTGTCTTCCTCAGCAGCAATGTCTGTATTACTTGAGCAGCCATGTTTCCTGCTCCTTCTTTTTTTCAAAGATTTATACTTTGCTGTCTTTCCCTCAGCTTTTCTTCTTGCTTGTTCCTCCCTGACCTCCTGCATTATCTCTTCCCATATCTCTTCATCTGTAGGACTGTAAAGGTAATACAAATATCAAGCATATTTAACAGCAAAAATATTAATGGAATTTCACAATACCATTACTTTTAGACATAACAAAGAAAAATTGCATGAATTTAAACTATTGACAAAATGAACTTCAGATTTTAGTCAACCCTCTGGATCATGCAGCACAAATCATAATATCTCATTTAGAAAGTTTATTGATCAAGCTCACCGATCTAAAATATAACACTATGATAGGGTAATTGACTTTTAGATGCTGCACATAAGCTAGATCATCATCACAGTAACTAGCTAAGAAAATTAATGAAGAATACTCACTGAATGACTTTATCATCTTCTTGCATAACCCAGGATAATTCAAATTCAATTTTACCAGAAACAACTTTCTTGATTGCTGGCTTAAGGGTAACAGTAACATCCACTTTCCCAGGCATCTCTGTAATGTAATTGCTGATATCAATACAGCCAGTGGCCAAAAGCTCATGACGACCACTAGGGGACACCTAATGATTTCAAAGAAGCAAGAGGAAGATGAACAGTGTTCAGATTTACTCCAAACTGTGTGGAGTGAAAATAATATCAAAGGCAAAGAGCGACTACATGCTCATGTAATAATGAAAAGGGAAAAGCTTACATTACAGATGAAAATATTCCACTGCTTTTCTTGATATTCTGTCATTTCCTCCTCTGGGTTCTACAATACAAATAAATATTGTTATAAAATAAAGAAACAAACTTGATAACAACAAATTAAAGAGACCTTGAGCAAACCATAAGAACGATGGAAACGAAGATGTGGCAAAAGAAAAGATCAAATGAGCAGAACAATAGTTGAGCACTAATGTTTAGAACTTTGTTTATGTTGAGCCTGTCCTTGGCCAAACAACAACGTGAAGTAATCAAATTTGGCGTGGTGTGTGTATGGGAACATACACTGACAGAAAATTATTTCAGTTTCAATATGGAACTCAATGTAGCTCACACACATTATGCTGAGGTTGAGATGTGGCACTGTTAGAGACAGTAAAAACATTCATGCAGCCATTCAGGAAATTCCAACTAAAAATATAGATTTATTTTTCATCAATTTGTCTTCTCGGCATCACTCTCCTGACTGGTTAAGGTCCCTATTAATTTTGCCTGTGCAGTGTCTTTTAACCTCCAGGAAGTGTTATTGTGAAATAAAGTTCATATAATTGTTTTGGCAATATAAATTCAATCATCTGTCTTCAAACGTTTTATAGGTTCAATAGCATTTCATAATTTTTTTTCTCTTCCGCTGTTGCGCTTTGAACTTTTACAGTGAAAATTATAATAGATTTAACATTAATAAATTAACATAATATTACATAGTAATTCCAACGCAAGAGGCTAAGCGATATTAAAAACCTTGTGGCTTCAAAAAGTCTTCACAACGAAAGATGGACTGTTTTTATTTCAAAATTTCTTAAAACGTAACGCAAATTGAATCGGAGGAAGGAGCAAGCCTAAGAAAAAAGCAAAGAAGGCTTCAGTAAGTAGGTATAACGTGTTTACGAAAACGATGGTTTCAAAAAGTTGGCCATGATTTCCGCACTTCCCCATAGTTCATTATGCATAGAGCTCTTGGATAAATAAAACAATGACGAAAGAAAGTCTTTTGGATCCCAATTTCATTTCCGAATGCTGTGGCACTTTAAGGAAATCTGTCCTCAAATTTCTACCTCATGTTGCCTTTGTTCAAAACTTACCTTGAGGAGAGTAAGTTTACCATCTACTGGATCAGGCTCAGGCCAAAAATGAACACCACGATAACCATTTTCAACACCTCCAAACCATGCTACAGGCTGAGAGAAAAAGTAATTGGAAGAAATATTTCTTTAACTCAAACTGACGATTAAGACATCAATAACGTTTAATGAGCTAAGAGAGAAAGAACAGAGATCCAAAGTCTACACTGACTACCTTTGTACTGTATTTCGCTTTCCTTTTTTTCCAAAAAACTGCAAGCTTGTGGGGAAACCTAATTGAAGAACAAAACAAGAATGTCAGCATAATGTGAGAAAGTTGCCATAGTTAGCCATATTTCTGTTCAGTGCAGATTCTATCCCTGTATAAACGATTGACGTTTTACGATTCAAGGTCTGAGATGCACTTACATCTTTTGTTATTTTGGAATATGACAAAAGGCAAAGAAGTACATCATATCTTCAAGGCGGCCGCCATGATGTCTTAATGCCAAGACTGGTAACTAGTAAAACTTACCCCTCCCTCCCCCTCGCTGTCAATAATTGACCGTTATCAAAAACCTACTCTTGCAACACTGCCGTGAAAAATCCGAATTACCTTAGTACTTGTTTTTCACGGAGTCCTGCAACTTCAAAGGGCAAACAATATTCAGTTTGGGGAATGACCCTTTGTTTCTGTTGCTTTAGTCTCACGCGGTATTCAACAGTGAAATCGAACTCAACCAAATTCTAAAAGGCATATTTTTTTCCTCAATTCAATTAATCATAGTGAAATTAATATTGTTTTCGAAATTGTTTGCTTCGTCAGAGTTTAACTTCTGATCATTTTCTAATCAGAAAAATAGGAAAAAAAGCCTGACTCTGTTGAGACAAGCAGCTTCGAAGACTAAACTCTTAATAGAAAAGAGAGAAAGAAAATACTTTATCGTGTCGCTTACCACCTTTTCTTGCGTAATTCAACATTCAGTAGCGAAACAGATGCTGTGATCAAAAAATTATCAGCTCTTGCTTTATCCCGACGGAACGGTATGAGAACACAAGCCATTGCTGTTTTTCACAAAATCTCTCAGACGAACTCCAAGGATTTCTGTTTCGTTCATTGTGATGTCATGTTGCCATGAAAATAATTGCTTCGAAGGCATGTTGCGCGCGCTCAGCGCATTGCATTGACTGAGGCCGGTTGGTATAATTTGAATTTCTCCATAACAGTTGAAGTAGAAGTAGCTAAATGAGGAAAATAGTTGCATTTGGGAAAAAAGATGTCCGCCTCTTTACATTTCCTCACTCGTGTACCATTATGGCTTTAAAGTCGATTCATAACGATTTAGGTAATTGTAGTTTTTGTTTTTCTTCCTATTTTTTTCTAAATGAAACATTTAACAGTCAGCTGATACAAGGCTGACACTTTCGCTGAAAAAAGGCGTACATTAGTACCTCCCCCCCTTTCCTTACGCTCAAAGATATGGTGGATCACTCCATTTCTGCGCCGGCCAAACTAACTTTGTTGAAAACTGTGGCAGCGAACTAACCAATCGCAGCTTTGATTTCACCGCACGAAGGCGTGAGTCCGCATGCAAACATTGATTTGATTCCCTCTCTATTTTTAGGGTACTTGTCTTCTACTTGATTTGATTGAGCAGAGTAGCAAAGAGATGTTAAGCCTTCTACACCTTTTTTGGACACTAAAGGCTTTTTGTAATATTCATAAAAATGTTGGAAACATTCAGGAACGCTACATTACTTTCAACATTGCAAGGGGAGAGGAGAGGGGTCACTCGTGACAATAATCTTAGCTAAGAAGTCAAATAAACGAAAGAGTCCTAACAACTTTTGACCAGGCTTGCAATACGCACTAGAAAATTAAAAACACGCGCGTGTTTAGTCCTTAGGTATAAATCATGATTAACTACCGCACAAAAATCAGTTTAAGATTTTATTTCCTTAGAACCGCTAGTTGACAAAACAGTAGCAAAATCCCAACACCTTATCTGAGTATGAAATTGATAGTAAAATATAGTCGTTAGCTCATGTTGTTAATTGTGAGTATGAGGCTTTCCTCCGATACCTGCTTCCTTTGCTAGTATAATGATCAGGTAAAAGTAACGTCCTTAATCCTGATTAAAGTATCATTTTCCTTTATCCAGCATCATCCCAAATTGTAAACTCAGTTTCAGAAGGTATTTTTTTTGTCGTTATCACTTTCGGAAGTTTAAAATTTTCTCACACTTCTACATGATAAAATGTTTATCAAATTACCAATTTGATGTAGTAGTTAATTCAGCGCACTGACAAGCAATCAGTGTTGTCATAGGTCAGTTCCTCCTTGTATTCTTTTCGCTTCTCTCTAAGCATCTCTCCTCAGAGTTGGTAAAAAAACTGAACAACTGTTAACGTACTCCCGCGCTTAACGCAGATTTCTAAACTTACTCAGAATACTTCAACGAAAAAAAGCAAATACTTCTTTCTACTCAGCAAGCACCCTTATTGAATCATACTTTTCGACATTTCCGGTAATGAGTAGATCATTGAAAAGTCCTATAAACCATGCTTCATTAAACAAGCAGAGTTAACAAAGTTTTGAGACCAGCCAATCTCTTCGTATTGAGTCAAACTTGAGTAGCAGATATCAAAGTAAGGATGTTTCCTTTACCAATGCATCATAACTAAGGGGCTAAAAAACTTAAATTTTTTTAATAGTGAAGATAATCTGGAGCAGGTCGGATTTAATTCAGTTTTAAAGGCAAAGGCCGGAAAACAACAACATCGTTAGGCTGGCATGATAATTTTTGAAATCTTCTTGCACTGTCAATTCTGCAATGAAGAAGCCTAGTCGAGTTTGGTGTTATGACTCCTTTTCGTGTTCCCGAAAGGTAGTCTGGTTATTTCAACTTTCATCATTCAGGAGTTATGATATTTAAAGATTCCATCGAAATGTGCATTGCTTTGTTTGGTAAAGGGAAAGGATGAAAGGAAAGGACTTCCATGCTTTTTTTTTTTTTGGTATCTCCTACTCAAGTTTTCACAAGATTTGTCAAGTTCGTTCGTTGTCATAGAGCATGTGTTTACTCCTGACCTCCGCTAGCAAGCGGAGTATAGCCAATGGGCTTGTCACGTGACTTCTTAACGATCATCAGCGCAGTTCCTACCAAGCAAGCAGCGCACATCACAAACACAGACATCATGAAGAAAGGACTGGATCCTAAGGAAATAGAAAAGAGAAAATGATGAATAAAATTACGAACTGGTGGAAAATAATAGCAAACCTTCTGAAAGGGCCTTTTGTTTAGAAATCTAAAGAACTACAAATATCAACATTGGTTCCACCACTTGCATGTCAAAGAAACCACAACACCATAATAACACTTTTATTTCATGTTATTTACCATTTTCAGTAAAGGCATTCTCCTTCTTTCTCTCTCGCTTGCCTCGTGCGAGGCGGATCGGGCCCTGGGCCAAAGAATACACGTCATCAGTCACGTGATCACTTACTGCACGTCTACCTCGGCCTCTTGATGGACACTTTTTTGCACACTGTGAAGCAGGGTTCGTTGCGTTGCATACAATTACGTGGCAGTGCACGAATACGAATGGATGATCTGCAATGAACTTGAAAGCCTCCAAGCTAAACCGCTGAGCACTCGATGAAGATCCAGAGTAATACTTCACGGTAACGTCATTCTGACATCTAAGAAAAAACGTTATGCACTGATTGGATTTCAATCCCTATTTCACGAAGTGCCTGTTACCTACATTTATTTGTCCTAATGTGCAAGAGGTGGAGATCAAGTTTATTAAAGATTAAATGGAACCTGCGCACCGATTAAAAAAAGATCAAAAACAAATAAAATATTACCTATAATTATCTTTCACATACCCTTTCTTTATAAATTCGTAATTTACAGAACTTTTCTCATCCTGAGTGGGCGTGGCATAGCATCGATCAGCCATGATTGACAACTTCTTGTCAGTCGATGTCACTGACACTTCAAAGAAGAGAGGTTTACGAAGCAGCACATCAACAGGGAAGTCATCCTTCATGTAAGGACTCACGAATCTTTTGTCACGGAACATATTCAGAGAAAGTGTGAAGTTTCCTTTGCCTTCATCACTGAACCTAAGTTTTGTATTGCTCGGCCTCCAACCAACTGATGATACCACGCCAAACTTGGATAAGTAGCAGCTGAATGGTATTTCTATTTCCCGCACGCGTGTTGCGACGTCCTTAGCGGCCACAGGGATTTCAAAGACTATGTTGGAGTAGACGATAGCTGTCGGTGTAAGCCTGCGTTTTGTGTCACAGCCAGTCAGCGGAGTTGTCAGAGAGAAGGAGGCGTTAGTTTCCTCAGCCTTGCATCTTGAGTCTAAGAGCCGAAGACGCCCACGGTCGCGACCACGGAAGAGGGACTTAGGAATGATAATTGTCATATTGTTGCTGTTGCACTGGACATTGACCCCTGGAGCTTCAGGAAAAAATAAAAGTTTCTTTATCTCTTAGAAGGAAGGAAAGTGGAATGTTGTAGAAAGAGAATCTTACTTTGTCGGAAAAAAGTGGGATGGAGAAAATGATTACTTTAGCAAACGAATGAAATTATGTTATTTCTACCAGTTTATACTAACCATGACATGTTTTGTTATCTGATGATAAGCTTAGCTCTAGGTCTGGACATTCACATTTGTAGCCCCCTGCAATATTGACGCACTCGTGACTGCAGCCACCATTTGACACAGCACACTCGTCGGTGTCTGAAATAAGAGTTACAATCTGAGTGTTGCAAATAAAGTTTATTTTAGTTAAAAAACTGACAGAATAAAGTAAACTTACCCTTGCACGTCACAGATTTGGCACTATCCGTCCATTGACCATTAGCCCCACACTGTTTCTTAGAAGGACCTTGTAAATAGTATCCCTGTGGACATGAGAACGAGCATTCGGTATTGTGTTTCGCCGGTGATGTCACACAATTGTTTGGTGTGGTTTTGACGAGACGACCAACTGTAAGGACTGGACATTTAACTGAAAAAAGGAGGTAATCAAATCCACTTGATTGTACAAGTTCCTAAAGGCTGAATTTTTAACGAAATTTATTTCACTCAATGGTAAGGTAAAACTTTGGAAAAAAATACCATTTTTGTCGATTAGATTCCGTATTTCATGTACAAATACTAAAAACGTAAGCTAAACGAGAGAGTTAAGAATAAATAAAAATTTATCATGGTACTCAGACGAAGGCTTATTTTTGGTCTGTACTGAGATGAAAAAGGCCAACAAGCTGGTGTCCGCTGGTGCGAGTAAAACAAGTTGATCCAAAGTTGTGATTTAGCATGTATAAAAATTGGCAGACGTCCGTTACGGCAATTGTGCAAGCCATGGATATAACACGCGTGAGGTGATAGGGGAGCTGAAAAATTCTGTTAACTTGGGCATAAGTGCTTGGAAAGGGGTCAAAAAACTTTTCAGTGAAGCAATGTTAAATTCTGTTCCGAAAGTAATCCGGGAATGCTTTAATTTGGCTTTGATGCATTTTACTCTGCGGTCGGTTTAGAAAACCCGTACCACCAGGCAAACAGTTGTAGTGACAAGGAAAAAATGTTATGATGACCTTACTCTGGCGCTTTTCAACGCTCAATGTCGGTCACATGTAATCGGGAAGGAACTTTGACGGTTGACGATTGAAATTTAGGGCTTTTGACGGCTGATAATTGTGAGGAAGAAATTTGTGATTTGAAACTTACTTGATATTGATTTCGTAGTTTTTGATACGAATTATCTTTTTCAGAAGTGATTTCGGTCTTTCAGTGATGGCAATGAAATGAAATGAAAACTTAAAACGCACTGCAAAACCATAAACAATATTTAAGTGGCTATCAACTCCTTTCCCAATTTGAGTTCTCTGGTTTAGTAATTGCGAACTTTGAAAATATCGCTAGAGGGAATCCCTCAAAATTTTTGTCCGTGTCTTTATAGGAATTTTTAATTTTCCGTACAATACTTATTGGTGTGTATAGCTCGACCTCAAATGAGCTCCAACAAAAGTTGTCGTAGAAATCAATATCATGTTCTCTCAAATGAACAATGATGATGTTTTTGGTTTCCTTTCTCTCAACTGATTCTTACTCTGCTTTACACCACAAGTGTGTGTGATTCAGATCTTTCCGGACATGCTCTCGACTTGCAACTCGTGATTGCGGGAGTATGGTACACCATACTGGCGTGGTCACAACGTGAACAAGTTATCCACGGAGAATCTGTTTGAATTTTTTAAACCTAATAGAAGTATATTTGGATAGAAGGTAGTTGCAATGTTCGTTTTGACGCCGTTTAGCGATTGAAAAATCTCAAAAATTAGTGGAAATGACCATAAAATTAGTTTTGATTTGGAAACGTGGAAACGTATTTACCGGTTTTAAGATTTTTTCGAGATATTAACTGTCCGCGACAAACAGCTCTTAATTGAAGGATTTGAAAGACCGTGATATATTTTGACAGCAAATATCGCGCTGCTCTCTTTTTTTTTTGTGGACGATTTACGGTAAACATTGCCCTTTAACAGTTGTCAAGTTAACGTCATTTGAACGCCAACCGTCACCACATTGAGGCTCTCGATTGAGTATGCTGTGAATATTTGGATTTCAGATTTTAGGCATCTAATCGAAATGTGTTCTTAGGCCATGATCGGATTGACTCACCACTGGTTTCGCAAATGTAACGACGTGGACCACTACAGGGGAGGTCATTCCATTTCAATCCGTGCTTCTGAGTATACAACTCGACACACGCCTCCCCTCCTCCGGAATTATTAGGTTCTCCAGGATACCAATTGGTAAAGGTTGGCCGCGAACCATCAACCCAGAGCCAGCGAGACTGGTCTTTAGGATCCCTGTACAAACCAATAAACATAGTGTGTGAAGAACGAGTGCCAATCGCTTGATTTTCAGCTCGAGAATTAATCACAACGAGATGGGATCCTTGAGCTTCGCAGGACGCTTTTGCTGCATTCCAGGAGGCTGACTTGGAAGAGAACTTGTAGCACGAGTTATGAAAACGTACCCAGTTCTTTGGACATACTGTTAAAATAACATGCATCAAGAATCAGTAGAGGTTTAGAGGAAGCATCTAAAATATGAAGATTCATCTCTTCATTTACATTTAGTTAAAAATAAGGTTGCTTCCGAGCGTCTGCCTCTTTCTTCTGTGTGGTCCAGAAATAAGCTTAAGGGATCATAGAAAAAGGGGAAGCTTAAAAGCATTCGACTGCAATGTATCGCAATAAATTACTCGCGCTCCCCCGGAATGTTTTGGCTTCCTCTTTTAGTTATTAATTAATTATTTGGATTTACGCCTGCAACATACACAAGGACTATCTAGATTACTTTTGTGTACAACGCGCGCTATTGATAAATTTAACGGGGTTCGCATGTGCTTTTGGATTAGCGTGGACACATGAGCTTAAGTATAGAATTGACTCAGTTTATTTAGCTTTTCCATTCCCGTCAAGCCAAAAGATTTGAAGATGGGTTTAGGAAAGAGGCTAGGTGGAAAACAATTCAATTTTACACTTGATTTCGAAGAAATCTATAGGATGCCGAAAATAAAAACATCAATTAAATTGGAACACATGAAAGCTTTGTATAATTCAAATTCTAGTTTGACCAGATCAGGAACGATCGATGGCGATTAGTGATTTAACTAAAGGGAATTGTTCTTATCTCGGGAAAAGCTACGATAGTGTTACTAAGTAAGAGTCGGAAGAGGTTAAACTCACCTTGAGCACTGCGTGGTAAGACAAGGACTGTAAAACCCACAAGGATAACAGACAAAAAGCGGGTGATGAGCATACCGATATACAGATCTAACCGGTCCCTCTTGTGAGTCTTTCTCTTAATTTCAAGCAAACGTTTGAAGCATTTGTGGAAACAAAGCATCAACATACAACCATAAAGCTGGACAATTTACTTAAACGGGAATTTTCTTGAGTAAGCTTATTTAAATATCTCACGATCTAAACAGTTTCGGCTTTGTGTACACAAATTGATTTAATATTACAAGACTCGATAGAGCGAACAGTTTACGATTGATAATTCTAAAAACAACCTCGCAATGAGCATAAATTCCCTGTAGCTATTTATTGAGGGGTGTTGCACAAATCCCAATGAAAGTTGTGTACTTGTTATTTTCTGCATGAGTGCTTCTGTTTTCGCGCCCGAAGCTGCAGTGTCATATTATTCAGTTTTGCATGTATTAGGATGATCTCAGAATAGATAGTCTTTGAAAGTGAATAAACAATGTAAACTAATGCCACCGACAGCTGCCCTCTGAATGCTAGTTTTAGGTCCTGTCTACCATAACAAAGAAACGTGTCACAGCCAAAGGTTTATCAATTTGTATTATGAAATGTAAATTCATCTAAGTGCCAGCTGATGTGCAACTGAATTTTACGCGCATTGACGACCTAATTGTGTTCATTACACGGAACGAGACTAATATTTACAAACCGCTCAATTTCAATTTCGAGAGAGTTACAATCACGGGAACGCTCATCAGAAAGTTTCATTTTATCCTTGAAATGAAAGAGGTAATTTTAGTATCGCTCGAACTTCTTTAACGCCTCGTATATAAATATAACTTTAAACAGCAGACAAGCACATGATACCACGTGCAGTCGTCTAATCCGATGATTAAAGATCTCACTTCAGTGTTCCTTGAACGTTAACTATTGGTCAACTTGCATTTGCAACCCTTATCAAGCTTTGTTAAAACACCCCAACACCTCTCGATGTTGAGTATAATTTTTTTGTATTTTTGTAAGGCGGTCTAATTTTTTCCGTCACCAAAATCGACAAGGCGTTTAAGAAGGGTGAGGGGGAAAAGTATCAATAATTGTGTCAAGGATTGTAACCCTGTTCAGTAGAAATAAATATCTATTAGCCAAAAAGAATCATGTCGATCGCCATACATTGTAACAGCCTGTTTTACCACTCTTCCTTGTCTTCTGGGAACTTGAGCAAAGAAAGAATATTTGAAGAATTAAACTACAAAGATAAAGCTTTAATATGATTTATATTGTAATTACTAATTATATATAGAAGCATTGTGTTGTGGCGTACGAATTTGCCAAAGTTACATCATTTTTCTTAGATTTACCGGAGGGGAGTGGAAGGAAAACGGCCATTCAGGTGTACTTTGAACTTTTCGATTTTTCAGAAAAAAAGCGCGATGGAAATTTTTAACGTAATTTTTGAGAAGGGTTCATCAAAAGAGTCCTCTAAGAAAACATACAATGAATACCAAAATTTTGCAACTGTCGACGGATTCCATATTTATGGTCAGTGGCTCTAAAGAGGCTGGTTAACAACGCACGTTTAACAAGTTTTCACCGTAGTTTCTGTTGCATCATCCATACTGCGTGAAATAATCCGAATACGGTCCCGTATGTAGGTCTTATACAGTCACGTGTACGGAATCTATAAGGAGGTGTCATGATGTTTAAGGTACTGTTTAAGGATCAGTATACGTCAGGCTACGCCAAGAAAATAGCAGGATCTTATACACTTGTAGCAGGATTTCTTATTCCTCATTACACAAGTCCGTATATATGATGTATACTGCATGAAGCAGGAAGGGTACTGATATGTTCCGTAGAAAATACGTGTACAGATTCTTTCACTCGTGAAAGGATTACCTTTATGTCATTACAGAGGTCTGTAGACTTCACGTATACTGTAGGAAGTATAAGATATAGATACCACTGTTGTTTCAAGGTAGGTATACGAATTCTTATTAGATTCATGACGAGATTTCAGGCCAAATACCAGTGTACACATGAATACTGTAAGAAGACAGTTGTTTACGTATTGTGAGGGCTTTAACGAGCCTTTTTTGAGCAATCTTAATAGGAAAATTTACCATTTTCGAGTATTCTTACGGGGTATGTTCAGCGTCAAAGATTCTTGCATTGCTTAGGTGTGATCTAGGTGGAATCATAAAATCGTGAATAATCTCATGCTTCAATTACAAATAGCTGTTAATTTATCTCTGTATTCCTCAGTCACATGTTGCTTTTTTCGCAGTACATATACATTAAAAAAAAAAAACTTAATGTAACATTTGTGTTTCTCAAAAATAGTATTGTTAATAATAATGCAAAGAATGAAAGTTGAAAATCTAATTCACAAAGAGGTATAATCCAATGATTAAAAGTTGTGATTTATGTACAACCACACTATTCCTTAAACACACCCACACAGAAAAACAAACTGTTCGTTCTCAAAATCACAATCGCTTCCTGAGGAGCTGTCATTATCACTTTCTTCTCCTTCTCTTTCTTCCGCTCTGGTTTCGTCAGTGGTCTCTTCATCCTCAGGTTCTTATCTTTTTCGCAGTATATATAAATTAAAAAAAAAAAAAAAAAAAAAAAAAAACTTAATCTAACATTTGTGTTTCTCAAAAATAGTATTATTAATAATAATAATTAGTACTCTTCAACTAACTTTCATTGCATCATTCAAGATGTGTCATTTTAGTTATTTTAATGCATATTAATTGTATACTTACCCGTTCTTTTCGTAAATTTTTCTTATTTTTCAATTTTATTTCATCCGTTATTTTTCCAAGAGCAGTCCTCCGTAAGTGCTCGTGATACTTTTTTGCAGTCCCTGAAAAAAACAAAAAAGGCTTTAATTTCAAAATTGCGCGATTGGGGCCTGATTACAAGGACGATTTAATAAAGGCTGGTTGCACGTTCTGGGATATGAAATGTTTTACACTCCTAACAATACATGCTTAGCGTGTGTATATCGAGTTAAGGATGCACGCGGCAAGTTTAGAGAGCACGAAAAATGCCTAAGAGTAGCTCTAGGCGTAGCCGAGAGCAACTCTAGCTTTTTGAGCTAAAAGCATGAGCTAATTCTTTTTTGACAGAGCGACAATAAGGATCTGCGCGAAGAAGCCTTTTATTGCGATAGAGAGCAAAATTCTCACAACGCACAAAAAAAAAGTAAACAAACGTCCCTATTGGCTGGTCAAAAACACGCCACATTTTATACTTTGGTTTGAGCGAGGACATTTAAGCCAGTTAACCGTTAACAGTGAATGAAAAGCACGAAATCTACGGGGAAAATGGAGAAAACTAAAGCCAAATGAACTCAAGTGACACTAAAAAAATGTTTTAAAAGTCAAAGACCCGAAGTTATCAAGGGTTTTGGTTGTTTAAAATAAATGTTTACGCTGCCGTGCACGGTATAATTGAAGAAGAAAAACTGCAGGAAACTTACATTAATAATAAAGAAATAGCCAACATGTTCCGTGTTTCTGTCAAGTCATAGAATTGGGGGAACAAGAAATGCCGAGGGAACATTAGGCAACAGGCAAGTGTTTCCTATACAGCTTTTTCGAGTGCTGCCTAACTTTTACGAGTGTTTCTATCTAACAATTTATAGATTATGAACTCGAGATTTCTATCGTGTGATAGTTGACGAGGGCGGTGCAGTGGTGTCCTCGAGTTTTAAATTGCTTATATGGTAAACTTACGTTGTACAGCAGCTTTACCAAATCTACCTCGGTGGCCTTGGCGGCAAAGTTCATCAACAATCAATAAAGGGGTAAGTTTCTAAAAGAACTGTGGTGCTGCGTCGGTGAGAGAGTATAGCAGGTAATTTAGTGTTAACAACTGAGTTGGAAACGTAAATTAGCCACCGTAAAGGGTAAAAAGGCTGACGTTCCGAGCGTTAGCCCTTCTTCAGAGCAATAACGAAGGGCTAACGCTCGAAACGTCAGCTTTTTTACGCTTTACGGTGGCTAATTTACGTTTTCAACTCAGTTGTTAACACTAAATTACCTTCATCAACAATCAGCTGAGTTACCCTTGTGTTGTGAGGGCTGGTGACCCTGACAGGGAGAAAATATACAAAATATTTAGATTTCTGTATCTCGTTGAAAAAATTTTTTAGTGCCTTTACTTATTCACTCTTAAACTTGGGTTAAATGTATGGGTCCATGTCTACATATGAGAAAAAGTGCTCATGGGTCGTCAAGCCTACCTTAGGCTCCGTCCACATTGCGTCGGAGAAATTTGAAAACGCATCTTTATTCCACGGTTAAGCCTATCGTCCACACTAATCCGGAGACGAAGACGGAGCTTTTTGAAAACGCTCTTTAAACCGGAGGAATTTGGCTTTGCGTTTTAGTGTGGACAGAAAACATTTTAAAAACGGAGCTTTTCGAAAACAATGACTTCACGATAATCTTGTGATTAATCCTAACCCTCAAGGGTGCACTAAAGCGTTTTTGCGGCTGGTGATTGTTGCGTTCTCAAATTTCTCCGGCGGAGTGTGGACGGAGAACATTTGATGCGTTTTCAGAGTAAAAGCTCCGTTTTCAAATTTCTCCGGTGTAGTGTGGACGGGGTCTTAATTAGGTAATATCAGTCCCACAAAAAGAAATAACCTAAAACCTGCATGATAAATTTAATTACCAATTGATTTCCGTTGTACAATTTTGATTTGACTTCTTTCCTTATTTCGGGTTTTTTAGCACTTAAATTTCTTTCGAACACTGCCGATCGACTTAGAATACTTTCAAAATCCCCCAAAATCTGATGTTCAATTTGTAAAATCCCCGCCAAGTTTCAGCAAAGTTGGCAGCGCGCGAAAACCAGGAAAACTGATGAACATCACCTTTGGTCAACAGCTTCCTTCCTTTGAACGCGCGAGGAAATGGTGCAGAGGTACAGCAGATACAGTGTTTAGTTAGCGGGGATAATTCTCACCCAAGAAAGCTTGCCATGAGTGATTCTTCTGCCGGGACCTAAAAAAGTCTTGCATGAGAACTCACCTGGTCC